ACACGTCTACACACTGGGCAAAACACAAGCATGTACAGACATTTTGGCTCATAAACACGCCTCTTTCAATTGAATTCTTGGTCAAATATTCGTCCTGAACCGTTTTCTGCACTTTCTGTTTCTCGTGTTACATTCAGACCGCATTAGATAGGCTCAGCAAAAAGCTGCTGCTGCTCCTGTGTTCAATGCCAGAGGGCTGCTTTGCTATATTTGCTGTGATCAGCGGGTAAAAAGTAGTTTGAATCTATATTGAAGTGAGAAAGTCCTCCTGGAAACATCGTAAATGCAGTCAGTTCATCCAGATTACCATCCTGCCTTCAAAGATTATTTCTCTGTGGGAGCCGCTCAGACCCCCACATAGCGGCGGGGCGCTGTCACTGGGAATCCCCAGCAGCAGCTGCCTCAGTCAAGGAGAAGTGGGTGGAGAGCTCTTCTCCAAGCTCTTCTACAATTCTGTGATATATCTGCTCCAGAGACCATGGACGACTGCTTTTCAAGGTGCATTATGGGAAATTTCAAGTCCACTACTTTTTCATTCAGTAGCGTTCTCGTGTGCTCGTGTACTCGTGAGACGTCATCAGCCTCATCCCGAGTACCATTCCAATTCTCAAGAACGCCAGATCGAGAACGCATCAAATCCCCGGATGTTGTTCTCACCCCGCCCTCTTTATCGAGCATGCATCAGAGCAGACTTGTGCGTTCTTCAGACTGACCGCTTCCCCAGAATGCCCCGCGGCCGCAGCTTGATTCCAGACAGCGCTCAAGTTAAACATTCCCTTTTCTGCTACTGTTGTTCTTCAAAAGTACGTTTTGAAATCGTTTGAGGCGATAACATTATACATTTAAGCCTCCCTGTGTGGCCTGTTTACAGAGTTAGTGCGAAATTAAAAAAAAAAGTCTGACATTGAGCCGACCAGAGTGACCAGCAGACCTCCGAGGGTAACCGCAGCCAGGGCTAAATTTACCCCGTCTGTAGTGCACTTCTCTCGGTCTAGTTATGTGTGAACTACCGCTCGTTCTGATGGCGGTTTTTTGCGGTTCGGTAATTGTTTTTAATGTTTTTTAAGCTTTAGAAATTAAAAATATTGTTTTTAAAATGTTTTGTGTAGGGAATAAATAGTTTGGACTGTTAAAGAAATGCTAAAGAACGTTGCATGTGATGACGTCACGAGTACGCTTCTGTTCCAATACGCGAGCACGTGCTTGCGTGCTCGCGTTCTCGTCAAGTCCGATCTTCCTGCATTCTCGCCAAGAACGGACTTGACGAGAACGCGAGTACGTACTCTCATGAATTGAGAAACGGCCCCTGACAGTCATTTAAATGGTGTAACCATGATATAGTTCCCTATAGAGGGATTAGGGCGGACACTTGGACACAGCCTTGGCCTTTAGATAGACTTTGGTCGTAAATCTCTTGCCTTGTAATTTTATACCCATCTGACTTGTAATGGACTTGAACCTATTTATGTCAAACAGGTTCTTTTACCCAAGTCTGAAGTTTGATGCAGCTGTTATTTCAGACCCGAACATCTGTTTCACTAATCCTGTATCAAACACTGATGGTCCGTAGGCATGTCTGAGCTACACCACAGCCAATCACATGGCATTTGGCATTAGAAATAGCTATTTACTTTAGCTTGAATTGGCATTGTGGCTGACAAGATTTTGATTGTTAATGAGATATGTACATTTTTACGTGTGAATCTTTAAAAATTATATAACTGAATTGTTTTCTGAACATAACAGGGTGAACATAATAGTAACAATAGTAACATTACGAATATAAAGTTGTGATATTATTAGTATAAAGTTGAAAAATAATGAGAATAAAATCATCAAAACAGAATCCATTTCAGAAAGAGAGGTTGGAGCTCTGTCCAGCAGATGACGCCTGACCAGCTTCACCAATCAGTAACCTGAGTCCACTTTGACATCCTACCCAGTGTGATGATGCTGCTAAAAGATTTCCTGATTTGTCAAACCGATGCTAAAGTATAACTTAACAAAATTCTGTTCTTGTAATATTATGACTTTATTCTTGAAATAAAAAAAAACACACAAAAAAATCAGTTTCCTTAATTTCCCTCCATGGCAGCTCCTTGGCTTTGTTCTCACACTAAATGTGGATGTTTGACTCTGAATTGATCCATTAACATCTGGATTCATCGGTTAACATCTGGATGTTTGGCTCTGAATTAATCCTTTAACATCTGGATTCAACCATTAATATCTGGATGTTTGGCTCTGTATACATCGGTTAACATCTGGATGTTTGGCTCTAAATTCATCCATTAACATCTGGATGTTTGGCTCTTAATTCATCCTTTAACATCTGGATTCATCCATTAATATCTGGATGTTTGGCTCTGTATAAATCCGTTAACATCTGGATGTTTGGCTCTGTATACATCCGTTAACATCTGGATGTTTGGCTCTAAATTCATCCATTAACATCTGGATGTTTGGCTCTAAATTCATCCATTAACATCTGGATGTTTGGCTCTTAATTCATCCTTTAACATCTGGATTCATCCATTAATATCTGGATGTTTGGCTCTGTATAAATCCGTTAACATCTGGATGTTTGGCTCTGTATACATCCGTTAACATCTGGATGTTTGGCTCTAAATTCATCCATTAACATCTGGATGTTTGGCTCTAAATTCATCCATTAACATCTGGATGTTTGGCTCTTAATTCATCCTTTAACATCTGGATTCATCCATTAATATCTGGATGTTTGGCTCTGTATAAATCCGTTAACATCTGGATGTTTGGCTCTGTATACATCCGTTAACATCTGGATATTTGGCTCTAAATTCATCCATTAACATCTGGATGTTTGGCTCTAAATTCATCCATTAACATCTGGATGTTTGGCTCTTAATTCATCCGTTAACATCTGGATTCATCCATTAACATCTGGATGTTTGGCTCTAAATTCATCCATTAACATCTGGATGTTTGGCTCTAAATTCATCCATTAACATCTGGTTGTTTGGCTCTGTATACATCCGTTAACATCTGGATGTTTGCCTCTGAATTCATCCTTTAACATCTGGATTTATCCATTAATATCTGGATGTTTGGCTCTGAATTCATCCATTAACATCTGGTTGTTTGGCTCTGTATACATCCGTTAACATCTGGATGTTTGCCTCTGAATTCATCCTTTAACATCTGGATTTATCCATTAATATCTGGATGTTTGGCTCTAAATTCATCCATTAACATCTGGATGTTTGGCTCTGAATTCATCCATTAACATCTGGTTGTTTGGCTCTGTATACATCTGTTAACATCTGGATGTTTGGCTCTGTATACATCCGGTAACATCTGGATGTTTGGCTCTGAATTCATCCGTTAACATCTGGATGTTTGTGTCTGAAAGAGATGGAGAGATGATGATGGAGATGAACGGTACAGGGGTGGGTGGGAATTAAAGCAGAATGTTGTCCCGTTGGTTAATGGTGAACTCAGATTAATATTTACATCACATGTTTCTCCTTTTGCCTCCATCAGTAGTTTCCATTCACTGTTTTCAGATCAAATGATCTTTTATCTTTATTATTATATAAATTTTTATTTTATTTATACTTCTCAAACAGTCCAACCACAGAAATTCCAGATCTTTTTCTGGTCCTTTAATTCTGCTGCTCTGCTCTCAGTTCTTAAACTTTATAATCCATTTTTAGGAATGAACACCTTCTGACAAGAAGACAGTTCTGCTTATGTTGCATTATTGGGGGGAGAACTGATGCACAGGGGGACTGCTTCAGGTTTACGAGGATCTTTTAGGATCATTTACTGAAGTTCAGAAATTTGGTTGAATCTGCTGTGGCATATTGGTAGGAGGAGGAGGAAATTACGATTAGAATTGGAAAATGTTGATGCATGAGGCCCAATGTCACCATGATGAAACATGATGGTGGCAGCATCATGCTGCGGAGGTGCTTTTATGGGGCAGAAACAGTTCAGCTTTTCAGAGCTGATTTCTGAAGCTGAGGACCATCAGGAGGAGAACCGGCTAGGCTGGGAGAGACGTTGGCTTCCAGCTGAACAACCAGCCAGATAAACAATGGATGGATTACATCACAGGAGCGTAATGTGTCAGAATGGTCCAGTCAAAGTTCAGACCTAAAATCAGAACATACAGCAGGACTTGAACGTCGCTGTTCTCAGACGCTCTCTGCAACTGAGCTCCAACTGCCGAAATGTTTCACCTTCAGTCAAAGATTGAGTCTGGATCCAAATTTATGCCACAACTTAAATATTTCCATTTATAAACAAAAAAAGGGAATAGCAGACCAAGATGTTCAACTTCTGAAAGCAGGAAAACTGTAGTCTGGCTCTGGGTTTAGGTGCGTTTTTCGGTGGACTCAGTAGATGAATGTTGAGATAATCAGAGAAAATCTAACTTAAAGGCATAGTGGAGGATTTTCATGCATTTTTTTAATAGACCAACCCTGTACCCGCTCCCCTCTGGAGAGTGGGTACAGGGTCGTGTTTTGCAGAAAGTAATGCCGTCGTCACTTCTTGCCTCCATGATCTAAGCTTAATTACTTTCAGGGACCTATTGTCACAAACTGTGGTTGATGCAAAGCAGGGACCTGATGATCCGCCACACTGTGGGCTGCTGTTCAGGAAAGAACCCTCTGGTGTGACGGTGAGCTGGACTTTCCTTCAGCATCCACTGGAACTTCCCCCAGAATGGCTCATGGCGGAGGCGTTCTGAGATCAGACCAGATCCCCTCTGCCCCAGGGCTCCCTGTCCCTCCAGCGTTGAAGAAGGATTGCCGTGCTGCGTATCTGCTGCCATTACTTCCTACTTACTTACTTACCTTCATACCACCTAAAAGCTCCAAAACTGGAAGATGCAGATTAACTGAATAAATGGGACTGATCTGCATTCTGAGAGCTGTGATGAGGGAGGAGTCAGCAGAGTAAAAAGTTCACCAAAGACTGAAGACCATCGGTCACATCATCCCAGATCACTTCCTCTATTCTCCGTGCTCCTCCTCCGTCCTCCTGCCCCCCCCCTCCCGCCCGGCCCGTCGGTCCGTCTTGGTGAAAGGCCAGTTTGAGCACAAAGGCTGGCGGTGCAGGTAGTTATAGAGCTCCATTGTCACCCAGCCGTTCTCTATCTGCTCCATCTTAATAAGAGCAGTCATCATTTAGAGTCTAAGTCGCTCTCAGCCTTCTCGCTTTAATTATGACATATCGATTGTCTCGTTAAGTCTAGTTTGGCTTAATGAAATCTATTGTAGCCTCTAATTCTGTCTTCCATTGTCCGGCCCTGCAGCACTGACTGGTAGATGTGGACCTGGGCTCTCTTTGTGTCGTATAATCGGACTCTGTGTGTGGCTCCTTCTCATGCCTGTTTGGGTCCCGGTTAATCTCCTCCTTGTGTGCTCTTTCAGGCGGTGTTTGCGTGGATCGCCGCGCTCCAGGCCCGAGTGTGTTTCTGCATCTGGAGTTGTGTTAGTCTTTGCATCGACGGGTCCCCGCTCTAAAAGGCGCCGCTGTCACCGTTTATCTGCTGCTTCCTGATTCCCTTCCATCGACTCTCAGCCAATCAATTCACTAAATGATGCAATTATACGCCCCCCCTCTCCTCACCCCCACATTTAAAGTTGAGAGGTTTATTTTGGATCAATCCCGACCACTTTGTGTGCAAATTACACAATTGCATTGCCTTCAGATTCTTTAGGCAGCCCAATTGGAGCGAGCCCTGGGTGTGAATGCCTAATGAGGGCCCCTGTCCTTCAAAAAGACTCTGTCGAACACAGATGGAGACAATTAGAGGAGGGAGGAAGGCAGAAAAACACTCATTCCTGCTTCTTTACTGTGTCCCACGGTTTAAAAAGTACGTTTGCATGACGATTTTCTACCATTTGCAGGTTTCTCAGGTCAACACAGAGCGGACATCAGTCCAATAAGTTACTGTCTGCATATTTCATAAGAATGTCTTTAAGTAAACTCACCTTGTTTGGCGACAGAACTAGCAAACATTTCTCCATTTGCCAGGAGAGGAAGGGAACGTTGCCTGGAAATCCCAGCTGATGCTCCTTTCTAAGCATAAAGGCAGCAGATCTGGTTATCTCAGAAACAATCTCAGTCTGACGTGTCACTGGAGGTCAATCAAAATGAAACTGATTTCCATGACAACCAACCACAACAGATTAAACACGGTTTAAATATTCACACAGCATTAGAGCCCAGAGGGCTGACCTTTGACCTTCCATGTTCCATGACTGTAACAGGACAAAAAAAAAAAAAACCCTCGGCTGCTAAACTTATATCGTTTTTTTGAATTTTTTTATTCCAGGTTGAGGGAAATCTGTTTGCTTCTCACTTCCAGCTGCAGCCTGCAGACGGACGGTTCAGCTGCCCTAAAAAATAAGAACAGTTATTTTATTAAACACCGACTATCAGGCAAACAGCAGCCTCTTCTATCCAGCAAAAGATCCCGGATTTGTTTCAGCTGGCCCTTTAGGGCCCATCGCTCACCTGCCGGAGAAAAACTGCACTACACCCTCAGTCCAGCAGGTGGCGGTAATAAAACCTCACAACTTTACTCCTTTCCTTGCTGTAGAGCTTGATCAGTTATTGTTTTGGTTTCTGCTGATGGATCCTGTCATCAGTTCTTTCATCAATAAGTCGAACTTGACTCATAAAAAGTTTCAATAATTAACAAATATTTTATTTTAGTTTCAAGCTGCATCTGTTTAAAAACTTTTGAACACAGATTTTCTTTCTCTGACAGGATCACTGTTTTTCTACTGCATAATTGCACCGTTTATATTAATGCTCCGAACCTTCAGATCAAGCGTTTTGCACCATGTCACACTTTTTACATTTGATCACTGTTACACTTTAAGGAATGGAAAACTGTACTAAATACTAAATAGTCAAAGTTTTTAAAAGTAGAATCCTTGATGCAGATGGAGGAGATACTTTAAAGCATCCTGAATGAATTGAAGCAGGAATATTTAAAGCTGCTAATGAAGCATTTTAATGAAGCTGGTTTCAGGTGAGAATAAAGTGTCCAGGTGTGAATCCAGGAACGGTTATTAGACAGCAGGCCTCTGAGCCTGAGCTCTTCAGAGATCCTCAGACCAGAAGGAGCTCTTAGTGAAATTATATCAGGGACATCTTTATTTCAGTGTTTTTTTCTTGGACGTTTTCCTCTTCAGAGCTCCTAAAGTGAAGCAGTGTGAAGCTGAGAGAAGCTGGAGTTCTTCTCTGGAGACCTGCTGTCTGATAATACTGAATATAAAAGTCGTACTGTTATTATCATGGAGATGAGATCCACTGTTCTCCTCCGGTTTCATCAGCTGCATCGAACGTCATTTATGGAAGATCCAGAAGATGTCATTTGATTGAATGTTTCCAGTATTATTCAGAGTTTGAAATGTTCTCCTTAAATGTGTTTAAATTCATAGGAGGAGAATCCGACCATGATGACGTCAGCATGAAGCGTCTCTATCTCCATATTTGGTCGTTTCTCCAAATCAAAGCTATCTACTCCAGCAGCCAATCAGAGTGAAGCAGATCATCATTAGATGATAAGGAAGAAAATCAGCTCCAAACATTTGATGCTTCGGGTAACTGATTAATAAATTCCTTTGAATGATTAATTGGGTCCAATAGACGAATCCACTTCACTAAAACACATCGTCTGTCAAACCAGGCTCCGACCAAAACATCTGGACCCTGATTTGATCCACAGCAGAGTTTGCTGGATTATTCATCGATTATAAGAAAGATTCTCCTCGGATTAGGTCAATAATCTGCATTTATGTATTTATTCCCCTAAAATAGGATAATCTGCTTGTAATAATAGATGAAGATATTTCATTTTTCTAGATATAAATCCTCTTATTTCGTTCCTTAGCTTCCTGCTCAAAGCGAGAGAAAATACAGCTTCCTCCTGGAAAAGGATTTCAGTGTATACCTTAAATACAGGGGCCATCACAGGGGCCAGATCAGGGGCCACACAAGGGGCTATACCAGGGGCCATATCAGAGGCCATACCAGGGGCCATACCAGGGGCCATATCAGGGACCATATCTGGGGCCATACCAGGGGCCATACTAGGGGCCATATAAGGGGCCATCACAGGGGCCATACCAGGGGCTATATAAGGGGCCATACCAGGGGCCATACTAGGGGCCATATAAGGGGCCATCACAGGGGCCATACCAGGGGCTATATAAGGGGCCATACCAGGGGCCATATCAGGGGCTATACCAGGGGCCATCACAGGGGCTATACCAGGGGCCATACCAGGGGCTATACCAGGGGTCACACCAGGGGCCGTATCAGGGGCTATACCAGGGGCCATACCAGGGGCCATACCAGGGGCTATACCAGGGGCCACACCAGGGGCCGTATCAGGGGCCATACCAGGGACCATACCAGGGGCAATACCAGGGGCTATACCAGAGGCCACACCAGGGGCCATACCAGGGGCTATACCAGAGGCCACACCAGGGGCCATACCAGGGGCCATATCAGGGGCTATACCAGGGGCCATACCAGGGGCTATACCAGGGGCCATACCAGGGGCTATACCAGAGGCTGTACCAGAGACCATACCAGGGGCCATATCAGGGGCCATACCAGGGACCATATCAGGGGCTATACCAGGGGCCATATCAGGGGCCATACCAGGGGCCGTATCAGGGGCTATACCAGGGGCCATCACAGGGGCTATACCAGGGGCCATACCAGGGGCTATACCAGGGGCCACACCAGGGGCCGTATCAGGGGCTATACCAGGGGCCATACCAGGGGCTGTACCAGGGGCCATACCAGGGGCCATACCAGGGGCTATACCAGGGACCATACCAGGGGGCACACCAGGGGCCATACCAGGGGCCATATCAGGGGCTATACCAGGGGCTATACCAGAGGCCACACCAGGGGCCATACCAGGGGCCACACCAGGGGCTATACCAGGGGCCATACCAGGGGCTATACCAGGGGCTATACCAGGGGCTATACCAGAGGCCACACCAGGGGCCATACCAGGGGCCATATCAGGGGCTATACCAGGGGCCATATCAGGGGCTATACCAGAGGCCACACCAGGGGCCATACCAGGGGCCATATCAGGGGCTATACCAGGGGCCATACCAGGGGCCATACCAGGGGCTATACCAGGGGCTATACCAGAGGCCACACCAGGGGCCATACCAGGGGCCATATCAGGGGCTATACCAGGGGCCATACCAGGGGCCATACCAGGGGCTATACCAGGGGCTATACCAGAGGCCACACCAGGGGCCATACCAGGGGCCATATCAGGGGCTATACCAGGGGCCATACCAGGGACCATATCAGGGGCTATACCAGGGGCCATATCAGGGGCCATACCAGGGACCATATCAGGGGCTGTACCAGGGGCCATATCAGGGGCCATACCAGGGACCATATCAGGGGCTATACCAGGGGCCATATCAGGAGCCATACCAGGGGCCGTATCAGGGGCTATACCAGGGGCCATCACAGGGGCTATACCAGGGGCCATACCAGGGGCTATACCAGGGGCCACACCAGGGGCCGTATCAGGGGCTATACCAGGGGCTATACCAGAGGCCACACCAGGGGCCATACCAGGGGCCATATCAGGGGCTATACCAGGGGCCATACCAGGGGCTATACCAGGGGCCATACCAGGGGCTATACCAGAGGCTGTACCAGAGACCATACCAGGGGCCATATCAGGGGCCATACCAGGGACCATATCAGGGGCTGTACCAGGGGCCATATCAGGGGCCATACCAGGGACCATATCAGGGGCTATACCAGGGGCCATATCAGGGGCCATACCAGGGGCCGTATCAGGGGCTATACTAGGGGCCATCACAGGGGCTATACCAGGGGCTATACCAGGGGCCACACCAGGGGCCGTATCAGGGGCTATACCAGGGGCCATACCAGGGGCTGTACCAGGGGCCATACCAGGGGCCATACCAGGGGCTATACCAGAGGCCACACCAGGGGCCATACCAGGGGCCATATCAGGGGCTATACCAGGGGCCATACCAGGGGCTATACCAGGGGCTATACCAGGGGCTATACCAGAGGCCACACCAGGGGCCATACCAGGGGCCATATCAGGGGCTATACCAGGGGCCATATCAGGGGCTATACCAGAGGCCACACCAGGGGCCATACCAGGGGCCATATCAGGGGCTATACCAGGGGCCATACCAGGGGCCATACCAGGGGCTATACCAGGGGCTATACCAGAGACCACACCAGGGGCCATACCAGGGGCCATATCAGGGGCCATACCAGGGGCCATACCAGGGGCTATACCAGAGGCCACACCAGGGGCCATACCAGGGGCCATATCAGGGGCTATACCAGGGGCCATACCAGGGACCATATCAGGGGCTATACCAGGGGCCATATCAGGGGCCATACCAGGGACCATATCAGGGGCTATACCAGGGGCCATACCAGGGGCCATACCAGGGGCTATACCAGGGGCCATACCAGGGGCCATATCAGGGGCTATACCAGGGGCCACACCAGGGGCCATACCAGGGGCTATACCAGAGGCCACACCAGGGGCCATACCAGGGGCCATATCAGGGGCTATACCAGGGGCTATACCAGGGGCTGTACCAGAGACCATACCAGGGGCCATATCAGGGGCCATACCAGGAACCATATCAGGCGCTGTACCAGGGGCCATATCAGGGGCCATACCAGGGACCATATCAGGGGCTATACCAGGGGCCATATCAGGGGCCATACCAGGGGCCGTATCAGGGGCTATACCAGGGGCCATCACAGGGGCTATACCAGGGGCCATACCAGGGGCTATACCAGGGGCCACACCAGGGGCCGTATCAGGGGCTATACCAGGGGCCATACCAGGGGCTGTACCAGGGGCCATACCAGGGGCCATACCAGGGGCTATACCAGAGGCCACACCAGGGGCCATACCAGGGGCCATATCAGGGGCTATACCAGGGGCCATACCAGGGGCCATTCCAGGGGCTATACCAGAGGCCACACCAGGGGCCATACCAGGGGCCATATCAGGGGCTATACCAGGGGCCATACCAGGGGCTATACCAGGGGCTATACCAGAGGCCACACCAGGGGCCATACCAGGGGCCATATCAGGGGCTATACCAGGGGCCATAACAGGGACCATATCAGGGGCTATACCAGGGGCCATATCAGGGGCCATACCAGGGACCATATCAGGGGCTATACCAGGGGCCATACCAGGGGCCATACCAGGGGCTATACCAGGGGCCATACCAGGGGCCATATCAGGGGCTATACCGGGGCCACACCGGGGGCCATACCAGGGGCTATACCAGAGGCCACACCAGGGGCCATACCAGGGGCCATATCAGGGGCCATACCAGGGGCTATACCAGAGGCCACACCAGGGGCCATACCAGGGGCCATATCAGGGGCTATACCAGGGGCTATACCAGGGGCTGTACCAGAGACCATACCAGGGGCCATATCAGGGGCCATACCAGGGACCATATCAGGGGCTGTACCAGGGGCCATATCAGGGGCCATACCAGGGACCATATCAGGGGCTATACCAGGGGCCATATCAGGGGCCATACCAGGGACCGTATCAGGGGCTATACCAGGGGCCATCACAGGGGCTATACCAGGGGCCATACCAGGGGCTATACCAGGGGCCACACCAGGGGCCGTATCAGGGGCTATACCAGGGGCCATACCAGGGGCTGTACCAGGGGCCATACCAGGGGCCATACCAGGGGCTATACCAGAGGCCACACCAGGGGCCATACTAGGGGCCATATCAGGGGCTATACCAGGGGCCATACCAGGGGCTATACCAGGGGCTATACCAGAGGCCACACCAGGGGCCATACCAGGGGCCATATCAGGGGCTATACCAGGGGCCATACCAGGGACCATATCAGGGGCTATACCAGGGGCCATACCAGGGGCCATACCAGGGGCTATACCAGGGGCCATACCAGGGGCCATATCAGGGGCTATACCAGGGGCCACACCAGGGGCCATACCAGGGGCTATACCAGAGGCCACACCAGGGGCCATACCAGGGGCCATATCAGGGGCCATATCAGGGGCCATACCAGGGGCCATATCAGGGGCCATACCAGGGGCTATACCAGGGGCCATACCAGGGACCATACCAGGGACCATACGAGGGGCCATATCAGGGGCCATACCAGGGGCCATACCAGGGACCATACCAGGGACCATACCAGGGGCCATATCAGGGGCCATACCAGGGACCATATCAGGGGCCATATCAGGGGCCATACCAGGGGCCATACCAGGGGCCATACCAGGGACCATACCAGGGACCATACCAGGGGCCATATCAGGGGCCATACCAGGGGCCATACCAGGGACCATACCAGGGACCATACCAGGGGCCATATCAGGGGCCATACCAGGGACCATACCAGGGACCATACCAGGGACCATACCAGGGGCCATATCAGGGGCCATATCAGGGGCCATACCAGGGACCATACCAGGGACCATACCAGGGGCCATATCAGGGGCTATACCAGGGGCCATACCAGGGACCATATCAGGGACCATACCAGGGGCCATATCAGGGGCCATACCAGGGGCTATACCAGGGGCCATACCAGGGGCCATATCAGGGGCTATACCATGGGCCACACCAGGGGCCATACCAGGGGCTATACCAGAGGCCACACCAGGGGCCATACCAGGGACCATATCAGGGGCTATACCAGGGGCCATACCAGGGACCATATCAGGGGCCATACCAGGGGCCATACCAGGGGCCATATCAGGGGCTATACCAGGGGCCATACCAGGGACCATATCAGGGGCTATACCAGGGGCCATACCTGGGGCCATATCAGGGGCCATACCAGGGGCCATACCAGGGGCTATACCAGAGGCCACACCAGGGGCCATATCAGGGGCCATACCAGGGGCTATACCAGGGGCCATACCAGGGGCCATATCAGGGGCTATACCAGGGGCCATACCAGGGACCATATCAGGGGCTATACCTGGGGCCATATCAGGGGCCATACCAGGGGCCATACCAGGGGCTATACCAGGGGTCATACCAGGTGCCATATCAGGGGCCATACCAGGGGCCATACCAGGGGCTATACCAGGGGTCATACCAGGTGCCATACCAGGGGCCATACCAGGGGCCATACCAGGGGCCATACCAGGGGTCATACCAGGTGCCATATCAGGGGCTATACCAGGGGCCATACCAGGGGCCATACCAGGGGCTATACCAGGGGCCATACCAGGGGCCATACCAGGGGCCATACCAGGGGCTATACCAGGGGTCATACCAGGTGCCATACCAGGGGCCATACCAGGGGCCATACCAGGGGTCATACCAGGTGCCATATCAGGGGCTATACCAGGGGCCATACCAGGGGCCATACCAGGGGCTATACCAGGGGCCATACCAGGGGCCATACCAGGGGCCATACCAGGGGTCATACCAGGTGCCATATCAGGGGCTATACCAGGGGTCATACCAGGTGCCATATCAGGGGCTATACCAGGGGCCATACCAGGGGCCATACCAGGGGCTATACCAGGGGCCATACCAGGGGCCATACCAGGGACCATATCAGGGGCCACACCAGGGGCCATACCGAGGGCCATACCAGGGACCATATACATTCTGTCCCTCCTTACACATCAGGATCACAATGATTGTAAATAAACCTCTGGTGACCCTCAGCTGCAGTCAGAGGCCCTTAAAGGGGCCAGTCACCCACATCCTCCTCTGACCCCGCCCCTCTCTGTCTCTGATGTTTAGCCGTCAGGCAGCGGCTGGCCGCCTCTGATCGGTGACTCCTGCCGGCGCCGCTGTTTGTGTGCAGTGGGAGAGAGCCAATCTATTCCCCTTAGTCCAACATGGCCGCCGGTGCTGGCTGGCTGGAGGGATGATGGATGACGGCTCAGAGCCAGCGTCTCAGACAGCTGCTGGGTCCGAGTGGAAACTGGGAGGTGACGGAGCAGTGACCCTCTCCTCTGAAACACAGGCTGACCTGGATTGGTTGCTTCCCACTGGGAAGTCTGAGTTTGTTCTGCTGTAAACTGGGCTGCTCCCAGCAGAGACCAAGGCTCCCAGTACAACCAGCACTGTGCTGCTGTCCCGCTTTCCTGACACTGGGAACCAGTGGACAGGCGGACTAAAGGAAAACCATTGAGACATGGAGGCTTTGTTTAAACCACAGAAGAAGGAGGCAGCGAGGACGTCTCTATGGAGGAGGGCCCTTCTAATGTCTGATTGGTTCATTGAGAAACGATTCATTTATCTTTAAACCAAAATAACTTCAGAAATAATCATTTTATGCTTTTATTTATAAACAGCAGATAAAAATCAGTTGGTTCAACAGAAACATATAAACAAAGAATTATGTTATATTATAATCAGCTGGATTTTCTGAGCCTCAGTTTTAAATAAAAAACTTTGATCTAGTTAATTGGAAAAAAGCAATTCAATGCAAAGTGACACTTCGGTTTTAATAATTATAATTTTATAAATGTTCAGGAAATTCAATTCATTTTTGGTTTAAATCAATTCAGATTTATTGTTTCTAAACTAAAGTAAGTTAGATAAATCCAATCATTAAATGTTCTTTAATATCTAGTCAAGTAAAGGAAACTTTTAAAGCATCTGAAGTATTTTACTTTGACAGAATTCATCCTGTTGCTCCTGATTAATAAGCATTTTATCTTTGTTAGGATTATGATCATTGATGATGTGTGAGTCTGTTAAACCCTAATATTAGCTGCCTGCTGTGTGTCTGAACTAATGTTTCCCCCAGTAGTTTATCTAATGAGGACAGTTCCTCTCTCAGGATAAAAAGTCATCTTTATTCTGAACGTGGCAAAGATTTGGGAATAGAAAGAGAATCTAACCCTTCATCTTAGAACAAAGTGTGATATTTTGATAAGGCTAGAGCCATGGATGTCTCCTCATCTGCAAACATCTATCATGTCAGGATGAAGACTGCAGTTGTATAAAATGCTTTTCTAACTGTGATTCGGGGCGTCTTCATCAGATGTGACGCTATGTTCAGACCGGAAGCAGCAGAGGCAGCAGAAGCAGCTAGTTTACAGCTAAAGTCAATGGTTGACGCGCATTAAGGTGCATCAAAAGTCCCCACAGCGCGTTGGTCAGCAGGTGCAGCACCTCATGAACTTCTGAGCATCTGAGGCGCTTCAGAAGCAGCAGCTGCTGGAGTTGGAAAGACTGAACTTTAGCTTCTCAATCAGAGGAGCTGATTCTTGGAGCTGGCAGGGAGTCAGACACAGCACTGTTGATGCGGAGCGCTATGATCACTCCTCTGAAACAGTTTATTAACGCCTAAATTAACTTGCTGCTAATGTAGAAACCTGCCGGCAGAATATGTTGGCTTTTATTATCCTGCTGCCTGCAGTTTGGATTAGGTACATGAAAAACGCTAACATCTACTTCCAGCCGGCACCAACAGTAGGGGAAAACCCCCCAAGAGGCTCCTGGGCCTGAGGCAGCTGCTGCTGGGGATTCCCAGTGACAGCGCACCGCCGCTATGTGGGGGTCTGAGCGGCTCCCACAGAGAAATAATCTTTGAAGGCAGGATGGTAATCTGGATGAACTGACTGCATTTACGATGTTTCCAGGTGGACTTTCTCACTTCAACATAGATTCAAACTACTTTTTACCCGCTGATCACTGCTAATATAGCTGCCATTGTTCCAGGCAGAGAA